TTTTGGACGGAAACCCATCTAAGAGAAGGCAAACTCTGAATGAAAACCAGGAGCCATAATGATCAACAAATTGATCGTGGGTCCCTAAATATAAGAAGAAGAAGAAGAGAGCAAGCAAAAATATGTCTTTTATGATCTGATCAATAGATTGTGGACGCTGAAAGTAACTAGACTTAGAACTTCATTAGCGTAATCATTAACTGCGGCTGCTACCTTGAGTACTAGTAAGTACGCAACATTGATTTTAATATAATGTCATTGCACTTGTATTTTTCATATAACTATGTAGCAATTATGTTCGTGATTTGTCTATATTGATATTTATGCATTATAATATTGCCTTTGCCATCATGGTGATGGTAGTTTGTTTTTTCCAAATCACCCATGTCTCATTTTAAAAATGAGACAATACGGATATTATGTACTTATAAATTGAATTGTTGTTAATGTTACAATGTCCCATACTTAATTGATTAAAATGCTTCCTTGGTCCAACATTGTCGCGAAGCAACATATGCTTACGCCGACAATGATCAGACTTATAACTTTATCCACACATAGCATGTATTTGTACAAGCTATGTCACCTTCCATACATAAATCTTAATTCGTTGCTGTTGGAACGGGACTTATCAGCTTATGACTATTCGCTTGGATACATATCTATTTTGTATCATTTTGCATTTAGCCTGGTTTCTATTACTGGACCGACGCACGTTGAAGCTGGAACTAGGGGAATGATTTACGTCCTACACCAAACTACCTACGGCTAATAGAAGGACCTCAAGATCCAGGGACTCTTACTACCACGATTTATCGCTGGAGAGTAATCTTTCTTATCTCAGAGATCTAACGGAATCTACGACTGGGAACTCCGTCTTCGCTACGCTTGGAAAAGCTCCGAAGACTGGAACAGGGACCGCTACTGGAACAGAAGGAGCTCCCACACTTTGTGATCCATCGAGATCCTCAGTGAAACTATAAAGGCTAAGACCACAAAGATTGAGCACAAAACCTTGAGCAATTTAGCATTAATAATGATGATACCGTCAGTTTGTTAGGGACACTTGCATTGCATTGATATACTTTTCTAATTGGATGAAATCCATTTGATATATATATATATATATATATATATATATATATATATATATATAT